GCATTATATATATATATATATATATATTTTTTTTTTTCTCTGATTCATGCACTGTTTGGAAAAGCAAAAGCAGGTAAAGTTACTCGAGGTAGTTCTCACTGGTGGTTACTCTTGGGTTTTCTGAACCTGATTTCCAGCCAAAGAAGGGCAGCTGATCTCCACGAAATGCAGATGCTGTTTGTATGGGTGCCATTTCAGCATTCAGAAATTGCATCTTTTAATTTGCTCAGGTACCAGGGTAACAGGTACTTACTAAAGGCTGTGATAAGAGCTTGAGTTACCTATCCTGCCTCAAGATGTATTGAACAAGCAGCAGTTAATGACAGACGTCAAGATTCTGCCCAACATTACTTGTACCCTCTCTGGTAAGGGACGTAATGTTGCCCTTGTAAATAAAAACGAGCAGCTCGTCAGAACCCAGGCTGCATTCCTGTTCAAATCAAATCCTGCATCAAATCTGACCCGGCTCAGCCTGAGCAAGGTGATACATACCAGGCCAGAAAATAAACTCTTAAGGAGAACAAGAGATCTGCATTTGCAATAGACTTAATATGAGATACTAGAAATATTTCATGAGACTACCCGACTGCCCAAAATTAGGGCCTATTTATATTAATAGGCACAAAATTTTGTTCCTATTAATACAATTTTTAAAATGGTACCTTCGAGCCCAAGAATGCTTAAGCAGATGGACAGTTTTCTTTGTTCAATACGATTCATCAGTGGCCCTTCCAAATTTCTAAAAGGCTAACAGAAAATTATTTTCTGTAATAACTGCCTGATATTCTTTTGCTTGCAGCACCTGCCAGTGTTCGTTGCATCCATAACGATGTCACAGTCCCCGACTTCTCTGCCTACCGTCGTCAAGAGGTGTTAGATGCCAACAAACCTTCTCAAGGCAGCAGTGAAAGTAGAAAAGGGTTTTCCTACCTGGTGACTGCAACGGCATGTGTGGCTTCTGCGTACGCTGCTAAGAATGTTGTCACTGATTTCATATCCACCCTCAGTGCTTCTGCTGATGTGCTAGCGCTGTCAAAGATCGAGATCAAGTTATCCGACATTCCAGAAGGCAAGAACATGGCTTTCAAGTGGAGAGGGAAGCCTCTTTTTGTGCGTCACAGAACCCAGGCAGAGATTAGTCAGGAAGCTGATGTTGATTTGTCTCAACTGAGGGATCCGCAGCATGACTTAGACCGAGTACAGAAGCCAGAATGGGTTATACTAGTAGGTGTCTGCACTCATCTCGGTTGTGTACCCATTGCCAACTCGGGAGATTTTGGTGGTTATTACTGCCCTTGCCATGGGTCCCATTACGATGCCTCTGGCAGAATCAGGAAAGGCCCCGCTCCCTATAACCTTGAGGTTCCAGTTTACCAGTTTGTTAGCGATGATTTAGTGGTTGTTGGCTGAGTAACAAGGTGCTTGCTCACTTCTGTGTTCCCATGAATGTACTCTGCAAAGAAGTAACTGAGATTCTGGAATGCTGTAAAATCAAGTGACTCTAAAACCATGCCAGGTGACCAGATTCTCAAATAAAATGTTTAAGTATTTGCTTCTGTTAAGTTTCAATAAAACTTGAAGTGAACACTTGTTTCTGACTTACAATGGAGTGCATTTGTGTACTGATTTCTAATGAAAGTGTTTAGTCCCGAGAGAGCCCATAGCATCCCCCAGAAGTGTGTGTATAACGTCCTCCTGAAGGGATGCGAATTCAAGACACATGCAGAAGTAAAATAACTTTTTCATAGCAGATGTTTCCATTATTTGTTAACATTGCACTATGGCAAGAAATATCTTTTAGAAGATGTTGTTTAGAGCTTCTAGCAGTGGTTGGAGTCAGTTAGTTTAGATTCCTACTAGATGTAGTCGTTTTCTTTCCAGTCTTGTTATATTCTCAAAACGGAGGGAAGAAAATCATAAATGAAAAACTCCCAGGAAAAGAACATTCTATTACATTGTTTAAAGGCAGCATTTCATTGTTTAGCTGCCACATTGGCAGTGTAATTTTACAATGATATGGACAAGGAACAAACATGTCCAAAGGAAAGCTGGCATTTTCCGCAGTGTGGAAAGATACACTCAGTCCGAACTGATCTGTAATGATAATGCAAAGCTTAAGGTGCCATATGAGAGATTTGAAGACTCAACCATTTCTGTGAAAATGATTATTTCACAGTGCCTATAGATTAAGCTTAGTAAAAGCCCAAATGCTGAAACCTCTTTTATCTTGATAGTGTCTGAAGGCAAGGAGGACTAACAGCCTGAAAACAGTATTTAACCAGAATTGGTCTTGCTAGTAAAAAGTACAGCTAGCAATTAAGCACTTACAGAACACGAGGAGAATTGAGGTTTGTTGTTTCCAGAAAACAAAAACTTCCTTTCTATTTGTTCACCCATCCTTTACTCCTGTTCTGTAAAATGCTTTTTTCTTCAACTGTGTTACATACTGTCAGTTGCAAAACAGAAAATACATGGATTGTACCTTATTATAAAAGTATCAAAGTTATATTTGTTTTCAGCATCCCTGCAAGAATTTGCATCCAGGCCTCTGGATTATAAAAAGGAGTATGCATTTCAACCTGCGTCACTGCAAGACCAGGGCTAAAACATGAAGGAACGCTCAAAGGATAGTGAGTCCAGAATTTTAATATTGTTACACTGATCAACAGAATCTGCCTTACCACACCGATAAATAAAAAAAGGGGGGGGAGGGCGTGGCAATAAAACCACAACAAAAAAAATGCATCTGCTTAAGGCATTTCAGTGCACAAGACTAATGGTGACCATAGAGCAAGATCCTGGTGTGGTCTCACCAGGTGAGACCGACAGTGCCCAAGAGCCTGCGCTGTTGATCACTAAGATTAACTTTTACTCAGAGCTGGGGCTGAGGGTCTGCAGAGGCTGCGGGAGCGCAGCCGGGGGATCCTGCCTTTGGCATTACTGAAATACTGCTCTGCACAGCATGAGTTTCAGCAGCTCTAACTGAGAAAATCTTGCTTTACTGCCCAATTGTTGCAGACACAAACTATACAAAGGTAACAACTAGTCCCCTTTCAAGTAAAAGGAGAGATTTTACTATAACATAAAGAGATTCACAAAATGGTCTATTTTCTTCGTCCAAGTGTTGAAATTCAGGAAGATAAAAGGATTGAGCTCTGCAGCACTAAAGAATTAACAGTTGCAGCACATTGGTTCTTCTACAAGCTCTGTGGTACTTTCACCATAGATTTTATAGTATTAAAGGGCTCAATATGCAACTTCCCGTCAAAGGTCAGGAGAAACTGTGAAGAAATGCAATAAAAAAGGCAAGCAAAATTTCCTACAAGTGCTGCTCCAGCTGCTGACCGCACGGGTGGCAAGGCCAAGCCTTGCAGGTGCTCCCGCAGCACAGCCCCTGGAAGGACAGCGACTCCTGAGCAGACAAGCTCGCAGCACAAGCAACAGGCTCAGGCTGGAGCTGTGCCAGGCAAACTGCTCTTAGCCGTGTGCTAGGACACCCCGGGGCCCTAGTGAGCAGGGGGAAAGGAAACATCGTGACAGGGTTTGCAGCTACGGTGCATAAAGCTGGCAGTAATAAAAAAGCTGCAGTATAGAAGGTACAAGCAGCTAACTGTACATGTAGAGAAAACCCCCATGGGAGCCGGTGTATGCAGCAGCCAAGAGGAAGATCCCAGGGCCTGCGGAAGTGCCTGGAGCCAACGTCACGGCCCCGCTTCACTAGGAGCAGAACCTCCCTTCCCTCCCTGCTCCCCGACACTTTCCAATCATACCAGAACTACAATGGTTGCTCTATTTCGGGTCTCACTAAAGACACCTATTGCAGTATATGCAGAAGTAAAACTACAGAAAAACACTCGAACAACAAAATTAATGTCCTTACCCATGCCTAAGTTTTCTAATATGGAAAGAATACTTCTCAACTTCCATTGCCTCAAGACACTCCACTGATAACAGACTTTCGACCACTCTTATGATTTAAAACCAATGTCCTTACCCATGCCTAAGTTTTCTAACACAGAAAGAATATTTCTCAACTTCCATTGCCTCAATAACTGATAACAGTGATAACAGACTTTTGACCACTCTTACGATTGAAAACCAGTAATCCAATGTTGATTTCACCAGCCTACTACATTAATACTTATATTTTGTGATTTCAGCTCCCTGTTACATAGCAAAGGCATTCCTCATCTTCCACCAATCTTGCTAGTGGAGGAACTGGTACTACTGTGGTATGGCAAGTATTTTTTCCTACTATAAGCCAAAGAAGCTCCCTGTTACATAGCAAAGGCATTCTTCATCTTCCACCAATTTGCTAGTGGAGGCACTGGCACTACTGTGGTATGGCAAGTATTTTTTTCTATTATAAGTAAAAGGAAAAATTAAACACATCAATGAAAAAGAACAAGAGTTCTTAAGTTCTCTAAGTCAGGATGTCTTTTGTTCCTACTTTCTCTTTCAGAACTTCAAAAGAGCGTAAGAAGAGTGAATGTACATCAATGAAAAAGAACAAGAGTTCTTCTCAAGTCCTCTAAATCAGGATGTCTTTTGTTCCTACTTCCTCTTTCAGACCTTCGAAAGAGTATAAGAAGGGTGAATGCGATTCAGTCCTCTCAAAATTTAGACAACGCAGACTTACAGATAAACAGATATACAATAGATTTATAAATAAAAAGCATTTCAGTAAATTTCAAAACAGTTGAAGCAAACAGTTGAAATTTATCACATGAAGTAGAAAAATACAAGACTTTTCATGCTTTTTTTTTTTACATTTAATAGTATGACACAGTGCTGACGGCTGAAGTCACTGGCAATGGCACAGTGACTTTGTCCTCCCCTGCCAGAGAAAAAGCGGCTTCCTCCAGATAGGCTGCAAGGGGGTCGAAGGCTCACGTGTAGCACTGCTTGGGAAGCTATTTGAAAAATATCATGGCCAAGGCTGCTGGACGTCCCACCTGCAGAACCCCTCACCTCCACACCAAGAACCACCCCTTTATATACACAAAGATATATCAGACTTAAAATGCTCTCAATTTCACCTTCCCTAGGGTATTTTCTACAGCAGCTTTTGGTAAGCTGGACATTTGCCCTACGCAATTTTTCAGGCTGCAATCACAGTGCCACTTGTTCTGCTCAGTTCTGTTATTAACCTACTGGAAGAGTTATTCGTGATGATTTCATTTCATTTGACAAAGATCTCACCATGTGCCAATCACATTTCAGAAACATTTGTTTCTGAAGACAGGTTCATCTTTTGACAAATAATCTATCCTTTCTAATAATTCATATCCATAGATTGAGGCAATTCTTACACAGAGCCCATAAATCATCAACCTGCATCTGCCTGAATCTCTTGTAACAACCAGACCGCTCCACTGAGGTGACTAAAGGTTGCCATTGCCAGTGCTATTTATCTTCCAAATTTGTTCTCCCCTCTACCTGTTCAGGGCATTTCATTTCCCAGGCAAACACACTTGCACTTATTCCAGCAGGTTATGTGCTCCGCGGTGCATCCCAAATCCACCCCCCTTCCCTGTGGCCGGGAATGACACCCCATGAGCCCTGCACGGGGAGGGCACTGACCACCCATGGGCCCACACTTCACTTCTGCTCCAAATCCCAGCGCAAACCGGAATGACTGATCCATGGGGAAGATTTCCACGTACGGAAGCTGAGGGGTAGTGTCACAGCACACGAGCTGGTGGCATCCGGCAGGGACAAGGGGGAACATTTTTGCACTGCATTCGGGGGGCCTTGGCTCTCCAGCCGAGGTAGCAAAAGGAACGTGCCAGGAGCACTAGCGAACCACAGTTTCATCAATGCCAGAATCCTGCCCAAGGACAACACGGCCAAATCGCAGCCTCTCGTCCTTCCCTGGGAAACGTTTAGCAATCTGAAGGAAAATCTCTCGAACCGTGATTGCACTTTGTCCCCATCATGTTCATGGCACTTATGTCATTTTTCCTTCCCTTTCCCTTCTGCAAAACTCTGCCACAACAGAAACTGCTGGACACTGTGGTTTTCTGCTGCCTTTCACTCATCAGCAATCTATCCGCACTGTGTTTCTCCCAGGTGAGATATCATCTATTAACAATTTTGGCAGCTTCTTATGTGCTGCTTTTTTGCTGCCTTTTCCTGAGGGAGCTTTAAGAAAATCCTTTTTAGCTGATTTGTATTTGTTTGGACAGAACACTTTTCTCCATTTCCTCATATAATTTGTTTTATCGATATCAATTTCATCTCTATGAGAAAAAGATATCTGAACACTGCAATTATTTGGTCTATATATTACAATCTTTAGACTTAGTTGCAAAGCCATTCTGGTTTCCTGGGCAGCTTTTAGAAACATCCACATTTATCTGTTTATGTTTCTATTTTGAAAACACAGAATCATAGAAACACTAAGGTTGGAAGGGATCTCTAGAGATAAATCACAAAAACTAAGACTAAAGCACTTGCCTAGAATTATCTCTATCCCCTCAATTAACTAATGTGCATAGAAATAC